AAATTTGAACGTCCCTGGTCCTACTGCGCATAACAAATTCCCTGGGGCCATGATTCGGATCCGAACGCCTGATCTCCTGGTTAGCGATCGATGCTCCAACCACTTGGCCGTGTACAGTGCAAACAAATCAATAGTATATGCAGGAAAACCGTGCTTTATTTGGGTGGTGTTTCAGTTAACATGCGAAGAGTGATGGGGAAAGGGAATGGGAAGAACGGCAAAGTGAAGTGTTTTAGAGACTCGCAAAAAGTTAGGTTATCGTCGCTTTTTAATTTCCTCAAAAATTATTTACGAAGTCGGAGTATATCAGTTTATTCAAGGCTAATAGACTCAGAACGAGAATTTTATACATGAATATTTGGGCCAAAGTCCATCAGCCACAGCGGGTAACCGCGGAATATTCATTAACTGCCGACAGGCAGCTAGTAGTATACTTTAGGGTAAGGCAATACCATACTAACAGCACAGTGCTGGGGTACCCACTGACGAGCCGAACCCCTCGCAGCTGCGCCATGCAGTGGCAACGCATCGGCGAAACACGCGTGTATGGGCTTTTGGCTAGTACCTGTGCTGTTAATATGGTATCACTTTACCCTAAAGTAAGGTCATCCCCAGTACCCGGTTATTAAAAGAAATGAAGGTCCTTATCGGTAATTTCCAAAAGTTCCCAGCCAGTCCTTGTTGATACTGCTTGTTGTCCGGATGAATCCACGTCCGGCTGAGTGTGTTTGAGAAGTAGTCCCGGATGTTTACCGTCCTTGATTAAAACGGGTTCAGGCACATAAATGTGATTTATAAATAAATAAACTGTTCTACTTAGTACCCCTGGGGGTACTTTCAGAGAGAGTGGAGATAAATCTTCAAGTGGATTTTTCCTGATGCGCGAATCTCGTGAGGAGCGTCGCCTCTCTTATTTTAAAAAAATGGGCCTAGATCGCAGTTGGTAGCCAGGAATGGGGAAGCGGACGGCGATCTTAACCCTAATCCTAACCCTAACCCTAATCTCAACCGTAAATGTTAACCGTTAACCCTAACGGCAACCCTTACCCTAACCCTACCCGAAATTGTAAACTTAACCGTAGCCCTTAGACATAGCCGTAACTGAAAAACTTAACCTTAATGCTGAAACCTTATCATACGCTCAAACCCTAACCGTAAAATCAGAAACCATTAATCGGTACCCTAATTCTAACCTCAAACGTAAAACGGAAGCCAAATGCGTCAAATGTGATTATGAAGCCCCACAGAATAGCCCAAGTAAGCAAACCCCCCGCCACCTGTAATACGGGGCCTGGCTACCAACTGCGATCCAGCCTAAAATGGTCGTTTATATTTGAATTTGCATCTAGCTGAATGACGCAGTTGTGAGGGTTTTTATTCATCGTTGGGCCCCCCAGCGCCCCCAGTTTCCGCGCTGCCCAATTTCGCGCATTAATTTCCGAGATAACTAAAAAATGGCAGCATGTGAAATGGAGTTCATATTACCAGAAAACACACGTAGAACGCTGGGAGGCGCCCGATGAACCAAATGCCTCGTCGTTGCGTCATGGAGTAAACTTCTGCTGTGCTGCCAGGAGGGGTACAGACTGCCCGTTGGTAGCTTGTAAATATAATGCGGTTACTCCGCAGTAACTGACAGCTTTCAGGTTTGCAAAAGTAAGAGATCCGGGTCGATAATCTGAGGAAAATGAGGTGCTCACCGGACCGAAAGTCTTGTTCGGATGACGTTTCGAAGAGCTGGGCCGGCTCTCCATTATCAAAGCTCAACTAGTCATATCAACTCTCGGAGCGAACCTAAAGAGCTTTGTTCCGAAGGATTTACTCCAAGTTCGTGCACCAACTTCCATGGAAGTTAACAGTGAACTGGTTGGCTTTGTTAGCTACTAAACTCAGAGTCACTTTCGATAGGCATGGCTTTGTCTCGCAGTCAGGATAAGGTGGATAAAAGAGTCCGGTAGATGCTGAGCTGGTCTGTCTCTCTATAAACGAGTCGACGCGCAAGTCACTGATGTTGCGCCCATTCAGTGGGGCCCACGATGGACCTCATCACTTGTGACAGTCGAGTCAACCAGACCCATTCATAAATCTGCAGTGAATGCATCATGGCAATGTGATTGCTCACCCATAGTACCCCGTCAGTACAGCTGCATAATTCTAATTAAATCATCCCGAAAAAAAGTTGAAAAACAACACTGCTTCCTTCGTACACCGTACTCATGCTACCGCATTCACAGAATCTGATGTTCTCTGAAAAGCATAGGCACGCGAAAGAACGGCAAAATCCATTGAATACGCCTGCACACATGAAATCGAATTCCTCCCCGGGCAAATGGTCTAGTGTTTGTCCTCTCTTTAACTCCATACGACTGGAGATGGGCAACAATGTGGATGGCCTCAGCTGAGCTCGGACAGGGGGATTTCATCTGCCCTCAAAGCCAGCTATTCAGCTGCTACTTAAGTCGGATAAAGACGGATTAAGTCAGAAGTGCCCTGTCCTCGTCATGATAGCAGCAGTCTCCAACTTCGACACTCAAAGGTTGGCGCTGACGAGTATTCGCCTTCACCCGTTTGCCTAACAGGTAGCAGGGCTCGGACAGGCGACTGAGCTTACCCTTGAGGTCGGCTGGCCCCATTTCAAACTAGATTGGTCAACAATCAAATAAGCTAGAAAGTGTCTGTCCTCGCCATTCTGATGGCGTTCTTCCAATTAGACCCCCGAAGGTCGACGCTGACGGGTACTCTCCCTCACGAGTCCCACCGACGTTAAGTGCTAGTAGCCAGAGAGAGACTGTGACAGAAATATCGAGGGACAGCTTCATATTCTGGGACAAATGCCCCTCTTCCATTAACAGATGTTACAGGGTCAGAGGAGTTCTGTACCGCTTGACCGGAAGGTAAATGATCTGTCGTCACTTAGTTGGCCTCAGCCCAGTCACGCCTGTTTCGGTGCTCTACATGGACATGCCATCCCTTGGCTAATGCCACACAGACCACTTTAATACACCACCCCTCATGAGGGGCAAAACACCAGTCGGGCACAGGATACTTGAAATTGCCCTCACAAACCCATAAAAGCAGCTGACACCACAGTCGCACACCCTCTCAGGCATAACTTAATGCCATCAGTAAACGCCCCGGCCTCGCCAGTGGCCACTGTCGTCTGCGACAGCAATTCGGAGGCTCTGTAGGCAATGGCACCCCACCTTCTGGTGTTTCCCCTCTTATCCTGCCAATCCGGACATGATCTGAAGATCGTGGCGCTCAAGGTACGTCCGGAACCCTATCCGTTTCAAGAACAACCACCAAGTCCACCCTAGAGCAGGACATAGTGTCCCACCCTCGGAGGACGGGACCAACTCTGAAAAATAACTCCGATAG